CAGGCCACACGACTTGCTGCAGACAGACACCTGTGTCTCCCCGCGACACCCCAGGGTACAAGCGGAAGAAAAAAAGTAAAAAGTAAAGTATCATTGTGACTTGAGCCGAAAGAAATGACAGGCCGAAGCATCATGGTGAAAATGCTCATGTGGACAAATAAAAGACAGAAAAAGGGGTCGAAGATCGTCCATAGGAGGTTGTTCGAAGATTGTTCATAGGAGGTTGTTCGAAGATTGTTCATCGGAGGTTTTCCGCTATACACAGCGCATCAACAAAAGAGGAAAAAAGTCATGTGTTCAGAACTTGCCATCACTTGGCATGAAGCAAGCGCAAAAGAGAACTTCCGCATCATAAGTTGTGTCATGCAAGAAATGAGTTCCAAGAGAGAAGAGCGGGTGTCTTCAACATAGCTTTGTTCAACCACAGTGAAGCCTGTTTCAACCAAAAACAGAGCAAAGCCAAAAGAAAAGAAAATCCTCGTTTATTTTTTTCTTCAATTCGAGCAGTCTTCATGAATCAAAAACCCAACGAAACCGAAGAAAATTAGCAGTCAAGCTGATTTTGGTTTGAGTGGACTCCAGTGCAGTTAAAAAACAAAACCCTTTTCAGAAAAAAAACAACAACCACACACCAAAAAAACTAGACATAAAGGTAGAAAAGGTATAGGTTTCATGCCCCTATCAACACTATTACGATATTTAAGAGGTGGGACCCCCCAAGTTAAATGTTCATCTCCCAAAAAAACGAGCCAAAAATGGGAAATTCGTGTAAAGCGTCCTTCCAAGGACACAACGTTGGACCCAGCCGAGGTTCGTTCGATTCCCTGAACTCACAACCTCCCGATGAAGGGTCCGGTAGTCTGACCACAAGGCTACCGACGTCACCACACATGAAAGGTTTTGCGACAAAATGGCTTATCTCCAATATATGAACTCATGCTTTTTTTCCATTCTGACCCCTAGTGAGGTCGTCAACCGTCACAACACAGCTTTAACAACGTATTTTACAACAAAACCTGCAGTAACCAATGACATCTTACGACAAATCAAGTTTGTTTGTTTTTTTCTTCAAGTGTACTGATCATAATCCCAAAATTATAGCTTATTTTAATGCTCTGGGGAGGGAGGGGGCGGAGATTTTCCCTCACTAAACCCTTCAGATATTCCTCTAAAGAAGGGGTAACAACAACGTAACGTTATATCTTCTCTGTATCTGATACTCACGTTCCAGATCGGACATCTTGGACTCCAGTACACGATTCCTGAAATGAAAATAGGTCAAAAGTTTTACAAACTCTCAGTCCGAGACCCAAAAGGAGTCCAAAGCTAAAACAAATCAACTATGTAGCTATCTCAAAAGCTTTCACAAAAAAACTGTAAAAATGAAAACAGAAAGCGAACTAAAACAACAGTTCTTGTCTAAACAGATGAACGCACAAAGATAAAGAAAACTATCTAACAAAGGAACGTTCCCTTTCGACTGCAAATGATAAAAACCAAGGAAAAACACGCGAGTGTGAATGATCAATTCCTTGAGGGGCAGCGGAGGCAATGGTAGTCTTTCAGATTGTTATAAACAATTAGACCTATCGCTTCTCAGTCTTTTGGCTGCGATCAGATGGCACTATCTGTAGTTTTAGTAGAGTTTTTACGGCACCCGAAACCGTACAAGGTCATATGAGCGCCAAGGGGTGGATTTCATAAGAGAAGTCTTTACAGGGAATTAAATTAACTCTGCTCACCTCTCTAGCTTCAACTGCACAAAGTCTGCTTCGACTATCAAGGCACCTTGGAAATAACGGGTCACAAGAGTGTGACAAATATACAAAAGAAGTAGAGGAAAAATGACGATTGTAAGGATTAGGAAAGAAAAAAAACAGCAGTTCCTTGTTGCAGTTCAGGCACCACTTTGAGTGTGACATTGATGAATCAGCCCATTTACAATTTTACTGTGCATAAAAACTCGAGATGTTAATGTCCACACTTTGGGAATGGCCTAAAGACACTTCTCTCAGTAGCACCGCCCTGTGGGGTCTCACATACACATAAACTGACAGGTCTCACATACACATAAACTAACAGGTCTTGCATACACATAAACTGACAGGTCTCACATACACATAAACTGACAGGTCTTGCATACACATAAACTGACAGGTCTCGCATACACATAAACTGACAAAACAAAACAACCCTGCAGAGACGTTGTAAAGAGAGAAAAGATAGAGAGAGGACTGTACCAACCTAGTGTCAAGAGAGAAAAGATAGAGAGAGGACTGTACCAACCTAGTGTCAAGAGAGAAAAGAGAGAGAGAGGACTGTACCTACCTAGTGTCAAGAGAGAAAAGATAGAGAGAGGACTGTACCAACCTAGTGTCAAGAGAGAAAGAATAGAGAGAGGACTGTACCAACCTAGTGTCAAGAGAGAAAAGATAGAGAGAGGACTGTACCAACCTAGTGTCAAGAGAGAAAGGATAGAGAGAGGACTGTACCAACCTAGTGTCAAGAGAGAAAAGATAGAGAGAGGACTGTACCAACCTAGTGTCAAGAGAGAAAGGATAGAGAGAGGACTGTACCAACCTAGTGTCAAGAGAGAAAAGATAGAGAGAGGACTGTACCAACCTAGTGTCAAGAGAGAAAAGAGAGAGAGAGGACTGTACCTACCTAGTGTCAAGAGAGAAAAGATAGAGAGAGGACTGTACCAACCTAGTGTCAAGAGAGAAAGGATAGAGAGAGGACTGTACCAACCTAGTGTCAAGAGAGAAAAGATAGAGAGAGGACTGTACCAACCTAGTGTCAAGAGAGAAGAGATAGAGAGAGGACTGTACCAACCTAGTGTCAAGAGAGAAGAGATAGAGAGAGGACTGTACCAACCTAGTGTCAAGAGAGAAGAGATAGAGAGAGGACTGTACCAACCTAGTGTCAAGAGAGAAGAGATAGAGAGAGGACTGTACCAACCTAGTGTCAAGAGAGAAAAGATAGAGAGAGGACTGTACCAACCTAGTGTCAAGAGAGAAAAGATAGAGAGAGGACTGTACCAACCTAGTGTCAAGAGAGAAAAGATAGAGAGAGGACTGTACCAACCTAGTGTCAAGAGAGAAAAGATAGAGAGAGGACTGTGCCAACCTAGTGTCAAGAGAGAAAAGATAGAGAGAGGACTGTACCAACCTAGTGTCAAGAGAGAAGAGATAGAGAGAGGACTGTACCTAGTGTTGAGGCTGTAGTTCTTTTTCTCCAGGCCAGCCACAGTCTGAGCCATGTTGAAGTTCCTTTCGTCCCACGCCGTCTTTTGAGTCTTGAAAGCCTGGAGAAGGAATGTGGAGTTGTTTCAAATTCACAGGGAAAAAGGAAGGCCGGGGCCGGGGGGGGGGGAGGGGAATGAAATGAATAAATGAATACTACAATCACACGGTGAACAGTCTCAATATTTTTTGAGTATTTGAACGCAAATACAAAATGCAGAGACTAAAAAACTGCAATCAGAAAAACACTGAAACTCATTAGCAATATTCTTCACATGTCCCCAAAGCAAAACACATTATCAGTATCAGTCAGTTCAAGTCTACCTCCAAGAGACTGGTAAGTTGCAACTGAAACTTCTGAATTGTGTAATTCATAAATGCTGAAAATTCACAAATCTTCCTCTCATTTTATATTGTTTAAAAAAAATACTTCTTCTTCTTCTGTTGTTGTTGTTGTTGTTGTTGTTGCTTTGCCTGTAAAACGAGACAAAACAAACTCAACTTTGTTCCAACAAGACAACAAATTGCATGAAAAACAAATTCCCTCCGTGTTGTTTTAGATTCCACTCACACTGAAATTGCTTTGATTCACTTACAAGGTAAAAATCCCTCTCAAATATTACGGTAAAAACCAACCAGCATTTGCCGCACTAATTCGCCACAGCCCATGCAATCATATCAACACATCCTGAGCTTGAGATAAAGATCCCATTTACTCTACAGCTAAAGTTATGCATGCAGTTATTCCAAACGGGGTCAAAGATATCAGATAAGCTCGCTTATATATAAAGTTGTAGTTGCAGTTATGATAAATCAGCGGAAATGTAGCGACGTGTTGCCCAGAAAATATTTCAATGAAGGGTCATTCCATGAAAAATATCACTGTTGTGACACACATAAACACAGAGGGGATGATCTGCTGGTTCTTTACAGTGAGAGAGCCATTCGTTACAGGGAGAGAGCCATTCTTTACAGGGAGAAAGCCATTCTTTCTTTCTTTAAAAGTTATTTCAATGTTAAAGAGAGGTTGCCTCCCACAAGAAAAAATAAAAATAAGTAAGAATAACGGTTCTATCGTTGTTCATATTTTTTGCGGCACATCATCCACCATCCTCACATTATACCCAGTGCCCATTCGGGGATCGACAAACCGATCACCTGATTTGTGGCCTGTAAACAAACGTGTTAGTTTTGGAGGCTGTGAGTTGGGCGTTCGGTTTGTGCCACGACGGTCGTTTTGTGCCCTAGTCTATCTGAATAGCCCCCACCCCCGCCTACAAAACTGAACAGAACCGATCGTTCCAATGGGCAACCCATATTACATGTCGACTGCTCAGTGCAAGACTCCGTCATACGCCACTTGACAAAATGGCAGAAAGCAGATTTTTACACTGAGCAGTTAGTGGGTCACTGCAGTCTCACTTGTGATGGAATGGCCCTTTTGCTTTGTATAGGTTTCACGCCCCAACCAACACTATTAGGTGATTTAAAAGGCAGGGCCTCTAAGCTTAACCCTATCCGTAAGCCTTGGGGTAATTTTGTACCCCCGGGGTTATATTCTTCACATTTTAGAACACATCTAGTACGAAGATCTCTTTGAAACTTTCAGTATTTCTCAAAAAATCATTTTGACAGACTGATATGCAAAGCCGGATTAACGAGTAAATTTCCTCTTTGGAAGTGGAGGCACAGAATTCTCCACGTCGTATGGATATGATAGTTAAACACGACGTACGGATAGGGTTAAGTGGTGGCACAGAGTTCTCCACGTCGTATGGATATGATAGTTAAACACGACGTACAGATAGGGATAATGCCCATCTCCATAAAGACATAAAAAAGCAGCACCAACCTCCAGAGGAAGCTGCTCCAAAGCTCAGAGGAGAACTCCTAAAAATGGCACCTCCACTAATGTAGTACACCGCAGCTTATCAAAATAATTTTTTAGTTTAGTTTTAGTAGAGGTTTTACGGCGCTCGGAACTGCATAAGGTCATATGAGCGCCAGAAGATTAGAGGTGTTACAAGAGAGTAACAAACATAAAAAAAGAAGAAGGGGAGTTAAGGACGACAGGTGTTTGATAGGAAAGAAGGAGCAAACCACACCAGAGCACCCGCCAACCATCCACAAATAATTTTTTTTTGGTTTGTTTGGATAATATCCACGATCCCAAGAACAAAAGCAACCCAGAAAACAAAATAAAGTCCACCATGGATAACGGAAACACACCGGAGATCGACAAATTTGTCCGATACATCCATAATTCAGGAAAACCGATAGCGTGAAAAATTAAAGAGACATCAGTGGAAGGGGAACGGCAAATTGTACGTCCTATCCGTGATTTCCAGTTGCCCTTGTTGGTTGGTGTTATCCGTGCCCAACCGTATCGCTCTCCGTATTGCCTTACCTCCTCCGCCTTTAGCCTCGTATGCAAATTTTGGATCTCCACGTCTTTTCTCCTCACCACTCCTTCTAGACGAGTCTTGTCCTTGGGGGGAAAATTTACAGAAAGAAAGAAAAAGAATATGAAAACAAAATTAAGAGAACGCCATTTTTTAAGTTTTAAAAAATGTAAGTAAGAAGTTTTTTGGCACTTGCAACACAATAAGGTCATATAAGTGCCGAAGAATAGATGTGTTACAAGAGGGTAACATACACAAAAAAAGGAGAGATTTAATAAGGACGATAGATGTTAGATAGGAAAAAAGGAGCAAACCACACCAGAGCACCCGCCAACCACCCACAGAAAACAATTAAGAGAACGTCAGTTTGTTTGAGTAAAGAGAAGAACAATATCAAAAGTCACGGCCGTTAAGCGCACGGAAAAAGGAGAAATAAAAAAGAAAGAGAGAGAGAGAGAGAGAGAGAGAGAGAGAGAGAGAGAGAGAGAGAGAGAGAGAGAGAGAGAGAGAGAGAGAGAGAAGCAACAGAGGGAAAAGAAAGATGCACGACCTGCCAGTGACACCACCCTCCAACCACCGGTTCTACAGTACTTTTGGTTACTAGTGGCGTCAGTGGCCTGGTGGTTAGGCTCTCGGACTCGCAACTGTAAGGTCGGGGGGTTCGAATCCCGACAGGGGCCTGACGTTGTGTCCTTGGGAAAGGCACTTTGCACAAATTTTCCTCACTTCACCAAGTGGAAATGGGTACCCGGCTATAGACAGTGAAAGATCTTGTCAGTTTGTTAGTGTCTGAGCAGGTGAAATCCGCAGCTTGCACTGTATGCTTTCTCGGAAGCTGAGAATGTTTCTGAGTGTTCTCAGAGGGTCTGCTGGGGCAATAATAGTTGTAAAGCATATAGAACATGCTCTTGAGCATGGATATGCGCTATATAAATGCAATTATTATTAGTATTATTACTACAAATTTTGTGTGCACGAAGTATCACTTGCTCTAGGGAAAGTGCAAGAACTGCCCAAAACATCATAAAACAGAACCTGGAGCAAACGAACAAGACCAAATTAAAAAAATTTGTGGAGATCAACAGAGGGAAAACAATGTTGTTGTTGTTGTTGTTGTTGTTATCGATCCAGCAACAGCCGGGCTCTCGCCCTTCTGT